GAGAGGGGGAGAGGGGGGGGGGGGGGGGAGGGGGAGAGGGGGAGAGGGGGAGAGGGGGAGAGGGAGAGAGAGGGAGGGGAGATAAACCCATTGAGGAAAGGGGTAGAAAGTGGCCAGAAGGGGCCACAGATGCCACTGCAGGGCCCCAGTGCATCTGCCTGCACTGTCCCAGCCCCCTGAATGGCCTTCAGAGAGGCCCAGGGCTGAGCTGGTAGGCCAGGTGGGCACACTGGACACTGTGCTAGGGACACGGGCCTCATTTTCTAGGCCACCACACTCACTTCTCTGTGTCTAGGACTGGCTGGCCACATATTTGTCAGTCTATTACATGGGCATACCGAGGCACAGCAGCTGGTGAGGGGGGAGGGCACTATTTTTCAGTCTCCACAAACAGGCTGTTTAGAGAAAAACACACTGATCTACCACCTCCATTGCACACTAGGTCTTAGAGGACCTGGAGCTCCTCCAGCACCACTAGCCTCATGGTGCCAGGCCACAAACTTAGGCCACTATGCGCGCACACACACACACACACACACACACACACACACACACACACACACCCATCTACCCACCCTCCCCAGCTCCAGAAGAAGCTTGGGAGGAGGGAGGAGGGACCCACCATGGGCTTCCATGGGCTGAATGGCAGAGGGGCCTGCGTGGCCATCACTGTGGTGGCTGCTTTCAGGCCATCTACAGAAATCACAAAGTCCCTCTTCTCTTTAGTTCCTTCCTCCCCCCAAATAACACCACCTCCCCTCCCCAACCCCAGTTAAGTTTCCTTCAAAGTCCAAGGATTACGCCATTGCCTGCCTTGGCTGGCTCCACAGTGCCCCTCTGCGGTTGGTGTGGGATTTGCATTCTGCATCTAGGAAAGGAGTTGGGCCTAAGACCGTACTCACTTCTACCTGACTATAGATGAAGTAGGTGCCGTCCACCAGTACCTCCAGCTCCCCACTGCGGGGGTGCAGTTTAAACACCTTGGGGTTCATGGTGATGCGAGACCAGTCATTGAGCACTCCACCTGAAAGATCTCAGTATGAGAGAATGGTAGTCACTCAGTACATGTCAGAAAAACAGCACGAACCCAGAACCCACCACTGCCACCCTCTCCTCCCGCTCCCCCCCAGCCCTGAAAGAGCAAGCTGAGCCCAGCCCGGCCCACTGGGGAAGGGCATTGCTTCTGGAGCGGCAGTGGGATCACTTGTTTGGAGGCTCTCCAAGGCCATGGGGGATGAGGCCAAGTTCAGATGCAGTAGACCAGGCCTTTGGCCTCAGCCATCTTCTCAACACTAAGACTTAGCATCTGACCTGGAACCAGAGGACTTAGGGTCTGATTCCTACTCTGCCACCATGTAGGAGCTGAGTGACATTGGGTAGGCCCAGGCCATGGCCCCTCTAGGGCTGTGTCTCTTTGCCTATAGAACAAGGAGGTTGAAGTGGATGATCTGGAAGGTCCTGCTCTGGGATTCTGAAACTTTTGTGATTTCCAATCTGAAGATGGGATCTGAGACTTAGGCCTTCCTTATCTTGGGGTGTGTTTATGTGTGTATGTGTGAGGGAGCATGTGTGTATGTGTGTGTGTGTGTGTGTGTGTGTGTGTGTGTGTGAGA